AAGATTTCAAAATGGTAATCATATTCAGGAAATGAGCTGTTCCCACTTCAGGTACTAATATCAATATGTAAAAGATAATCATTAACCAGATGTACTACTCAGCAGTGCTTATTATATGTAAGCAAGCTAGCTGAGGTGATAAGAGAAGCTTTTACTTAAAATTTAGTTATATTGACCATGGAGATATTGAGAAAACTGCTAGGTTTTTTGTTTTGGTGGAGGAGTTTTATTGACCACTCTATGAACAAAGCACGGGCTTAGTGAAACAAAGAGTGTAATAAAAATTTGCTTTGCAGTTAACACCACAGCATATGAAACACCCTCTTTGTATGAGATCCAAGCTGGCTGCTCCTGCATGGGGCCCTTTAAAAGGAGGTGGGCTGCACCTCCACATTTTCACATACAGGACATACAGAATGAGCAGAGAACCAGGACTACTAGAAACCCCAAACTTCACTCTGTTTTTTCCTTTCCACTAAAACTGAGTTCACATAACTTGTAAATAGAAGAGCTTTATTTAATTCTTACTGCATTCACTACTGTTCCACAATGTAGTAAAAAAGTAACAGATGGGGTATCCAGTAAACTTTCCAGGCTGATTCCTTACCATGTTGTTTCCGCTCCACCCGATGTAACTTCCCTGATTACAATCAGGGTCCTACATTTAAGTTCCAGTATTAAATTCCTGGGAGATGAGGTCATAGTTTTGTGCCAGGTTAATAGAAAAATTCTACATATACCTCGAATACGTTTCCAGCATAAGCATAAACTGGAATAAATGAGAAAGGATCCTTCTCTGAAATAAATTATAAACTGTAATGATGAAATAAGGGCTTCAGTGGTCTAGCTTGACATAGGTGGCACAACATTCCTTGCCATTAACTCCTTTTTTTTTAGATATATGCAAACTTTTCTTTTGACATTGCTCAAGAGCAGAAGGTTCCCCTCCTAGCTTTCAAGATTTCTTTAGGAGTAACTGTTGATGATCTGCAATTTGAGATAAAAATACTTGGTAAAAAAACATTCAGTAGACTCCGCAATTGTCAATATTTCACAAGGGGGAGGCAGAGTAGAGGCTTGATGTTAGCAGTGGGTATATCTGGTTTGAGCTGATGGCACCACTTATAAGGCCATTAAAAGAAAAAAATTAAATTTCTAAGAGGTATTTTAGCCATAACAGATCATAAGCATGCTTTGCACAAGTTCCATTTAGGGAAGATGCTGAGTCCAAAATTACTTGCAAGACTTCAGGTATTGACTTTCGGTTCTAATTCCAGAATGGAAGCTTTCACTTGAAAGGAAGCACAACAGTAAGGTGCAGGAAGCAATTAGCTGAATGTCTCTGACAGTCACCACACAAGTATTTTGGGATGCCTAATCCCATCGAAGCTTTGCTTTCTGTTTGTGGCTCAAATATGTAGCTTTGATTCTGCGTCTGTGCATTATGAACACATATTCATAATTTGGCGTTGGAGCTTGGCCAATCTTCTATCAAAAAGCCCTGTGGGGAGTCACACTAAAATCATTTTAGCTGTCTTAATTTAAAGACAGTAAAGACAGTCCTGGAATGATTACCAAGAGCTCTGGAGACTTAAAAAGCCTTATTGTCATACAGATGCTTTAACACTAGCAAGAATTGAGATGAGAACCTAAAATGGGGGCTTTATGCAGAAGGAACACTCTATAGCATCTGTTTTTATAATCCAAAGGAAAATTTTGATTGCACAATAAATGATGGTGGTTGATTTTCTTTGCAAGTGGTTCCTGAAATGTATCAAGGACTGGAAGTGGACTGGATACTGTAATAGAGAAATCACTGGTCAAAGTACCACCAAGACTTCCTATGTGAGATCAAAGTTACAAAAATACCCTTTCACTATTAAATATAGGCTCGGGTCTTGATATGCCTGAAGTGGCTTGTTATGGGCAAGCAGGAATTCTGTCAATGGAGATAAGGTAGCCAAGTGTGAAATCTGCTATAAATAAAGGAAGTGTTCTGCAAGTGCACTGTGCCATGGGATTTCACCTTCTGCAACTCTGAATCCAGTCAGGTGAGTAGGGCAAGCTAATAAATGGATGCCAACAATTTTTTGTGTGTTTTACACTTTTATTATACGTTTCAGGTTGCATTATTGCCTCCCAAACTGGTGAGTTAACTTGAATACTAAGTAGATACTGGGGAGCAACACTTTTGTTTTTATGAATTGACAGTGATTTGTAACACTCTGCTTCCTCCCCTCAGCCTGCACAGGGAAAGAAGGGAAGAGCTGAAGAATAGAATCTCTCAATCTCCAGTGACAGATGTTTACAAAATTACCTTTGATTTCAGAGGGGATGTGGCCTGTCCAAGCACCTAGTAACTTTAGTAGCTTTTGGGACTAATGTTTTTTAGGTCTCAGAGTGTTAGGTCTCTGGTTTTACTTGCCATCCTCAGCCACTGATCAGCCATAATCAGTTTCAAAGGAAAAGACTATAAATCCCAGATATATATAATGTTTTCAAATATCATAAAACAACATTTCTTGTGTGCCATTTTGTGTAATAGTTGTTCCTATATCTAAGAAGAAAGAGACTGTTAACTATGTATTTTAAAATCTATATAGAATATAAGGAATTGCACATAAATTTTCCACTGCTTAGAAGATATGACAAAAAATGAGCCATTGGCTCATTGACTTTGCCACACTGTGAGTTAGTGGAAAAACTTTTGTTGACTGGTGTAATTTGGACTCTAGTCTCCCAACTCTTATTTGTGGTGATGAAAAGTATTTCTTGATATCTCAGACCTGCAACTACATGGTAGAACATGTCTTTTCTGGTTTTAGAATATACTATGTACTGTGGCAAGTTGTTAGTCATGTAACAGCGTTAATCTTTTCGGAAGTCATTGGATAACTATATCTGCAATTATGAAAACTGCATTAAGTAAAGAAAACAACTCAGGCACACTTATTACTTTCATTGCTGAAGGCTACCCCAATGCTATATGCCTTGAGAAGTTCTGCAATAGCAGTGGAGCTGCTGAAAACAAGCATGGCAAAGTTTGTAAGGCTAGGCTGAATGCGTGAATGTTGAACGGAGAATAGCATTTTGGACACTTGAACCTCAGCCTGCATTGCCCCTAGTTTTGGCTGAGACTTTTTTTACTTCAGTGACTCAGATCCATTGTCCCAGCCAAGTGACATCTTGCTGCCTACTGTCTTTCATTCAAGTGTTTCTATATACAAATGGATGTCATCTGCTGGACCAAAATCTTACTATTTCCTTTCAGTTTCTGGCCAAAAAGCGGTGTTTAATATTTCTAAGTTGCTGAGAGAGTAGGTATGATTGAATCAGTGTATTGCAGAAATGATGTTGAGGCAAATTCATATAATGAAAATTTAGTAGCGGGCTCCATAGTTGATGGCACATATCAACGATGACAGAGGAAAAAAAGGAAGGGGGAGAGGGGAGGGGACACAAGGAAAAAACTCTCCCCAGTGGCAAGCTGGAAGGAGAAGCTGTGGTTGGCATCCTGAGACAAACAACTTCATCAGGTGTCTTATCCAGGGCACTAGACAGTTCCAACATAATGCTTTCCCTACAGCAAGTACACGGTTTTGATCAGGACTCACTCAAACTCCGTAGTGATTGTTCCCATTTCCAGTGCAAGCTTTGAGCAGGGCCGGCAGAGGGGGGGGATGAGGGGGTAGTGCTGAATGGTTAATTGATTGGTGATCTCTGTGCAGGCATATTGCTTGCAGTCTCTTGATTTAAACCAAAAAGCTACAACCAAAGGGAATAGAGGGGAAAAGGAGGGGGTGATTCCTGCTCTGGTGACGGTCTCTTCCATTGGAACATGCCATGGCAACACTATTGGGTCTGCAGGCACTATCCCACTTACCTCCAGGAGGGCCCTGTGGAATCTGGAAGTCTTGGTGCCACTGCACAACCTCCATGGTGCCAAGAGCATCATTCATCCTTTCCTGTGCCATGCAGCAGAAGGAATACTGTGCATCCCTTCATGACAAAAACCATTCAAACTTCCAACTGAAGCAGGACACACCAGTCACTGGCCACAGGGAGGACAGATTCCTGAAGAGAGTTTTGTTCACCTAAAAGGAGATGGCATTTGGAAGTAGGCAGAAAACTGTTACTTGTGACCATTTGCACAGCTGTGCATTCTTGTTAAAAAATGACAGTAAATTTGTCAACGAGTGCATTGGTGCTCCTGAAGTGCTTGATTAGCTGATGTGAAAAATATGTTAATAAATGCTACATATTATTCAGTTGGCTGTTGCCTAATGTTTTAGATTACAACACAAAAATAGAAAGCCATATCTCACATTAAACATTGGTCTTCCTTTGCTCAGATTGCGTGCAAGGATTCCCTAAAACTTCTCTCTGCACCAGGGTATAAAATGCTGTTTGTAGAGTAGGGGACAGAGTGGTATTGCTTCTGTGCTAAACTATTTGTGTTTGAATCATACTGCACATATATTGGTATCTGTGGGGATGTAAAGAATCTCAAGGTATAAAAGGATAGTATCATATTTAGATATAAACTGGATAGCAAATTTGAGTGGTTCATATTAGAGAAATTCTTGGAAATAAAATAAAAAATTATTAAATAAGTTCACTTCACTTATCTATGTATTGAAATAATCATTTCATAACTAGTCTGTTAGTATAGAACCAGTAATAATGCTGGACAGGACAACATAAGGAAGTAGGCATTTGACATGTAATCCCTGTGTTTCCTCTTCTCATATGAAGTTCTGCTTACACAGACAATCACGTATACAAACAATGCACATAATAATTGTCTTCTCTGTCTTAATACAATAACAGTATCAATTTAAAGGAAGGGGTTTTACCCACATATTTGATTTGATAAAAAATAAAAATGCCCATGAGCAAAAAAGTACACTAACCTAGTCCTTTTCACTTTTGTTCTTGAATCTCCTTTACTTCCAACATTTTATGTTAGTAGTCACACATGATCTTGTGCTGTTGCTTTATGCTGGCTGCAGAACTGCATTGATGCGATCTGCATGGCAGTGTACATATGCAAGATGCAACCTGCTTGCCCCTAGAGACTGTGTGTATCAAGACTGTGGTAGAGGGTCAGACACTTCATGACCTTTCTCCAAATCATTTTGAACTTTAAAAATTTTGGTTGATTAAATTTTTGTCTGCTGTCTCCTATTTAAATGAAGCAAACCTGCTGAATAAAGAACCAAAAAACATCCAAAAGAACCCAAACAAACAGAAGTGCTGTTTTTTGTATCTATGCATGAGCAGGAGGCCTTGATTTATTTGATGTCTTGCTTGTATAACTCTAACTATGGTTAATTGTCTAGATTATTTATTATTCATAGACCTCTGTAAGCACTGACCACACACACCACTGCTTCTGCATTTCCAATGTTGAATCCTGACCACCCTTTCAGAAACATTTAATAGTCACTTCATTCTAGAAATGGCATCTTGCTGATTAAGGAATATATTTGAGATCTTGACCCCATATTCAGTCATTCTTTTACATCACCTGATTTCAGAGTAATAATTAGAAATTTTCATCTCCACATAGGCTTACAGGTTGTAACAATGAATTTTATGCAGATTTAACTTTCAGAGTTAGACTTGTGTCACTCAGGTGTACAAAGCCAAAAGACATATATACAGAAATAAAATGACTGTTTATTTGTCTTCTTTTTACTTGTTTTGATCATAAAATATCAATGTCTTGCCACAGTTTTCAACCAATATAAAATGCATTTTACTTACAAATGAACATTCTGTTTTGCTTCTTTGTTTATAATGAATAAATAGCAGCACCTAAGTATACAAAAATTAATTTTCACTTTTATAATTCATTTGCAAGAAGTTATTCTCCAATCACTTATTACCTGTGGAATAATACTGAAATTAAAATGAGAAACCCAGTCAATATTGCATGCATCAAAAATAATGAAAATCTTCAGTTACTGAGAACTGTGAAATGTTTATTGGTTTTTAGACACAGAGTCCTCCAGGGAGTGCTACAAATCCACACAAACTCACTGCATCTTCGATGTTGCATTTACAGTGTTGATTTAGATGAAATATGTGTAAAAACTCCTGTAGATAGACAGCTCTCTAGTGACTATACCTCTGCAAAGGCTCAAGAACATAAATTACTGCAGCATGAGTCTGGAATAAATTATGCTCACTTCACAAATTCTAGATCTGCTTGATCCACAGTAATGAAGGAAAAATTGTGTGGTAGATCTAGGGAACAAGAGTTTATTTAACTATCCTGTATAGGTCAGTCTAATTTTAGACTGATTTTTTTTTTCTGAGTTGCAGAAAGTTAATGAAACCAACAAAGGAGAGAGGACTTGTGAAAGTAGGACATGAAGTGATGTGAGACTAGCCTGGTACAGCAAGTTCCCTGAGCTACATGAGAGCCAAAGGTAAAGAAGCTGCCTTCTCTTCTGGAAAAAAATGAATCAAGCTTTTTACCCTGCAGCATCATACTCAGATCCCTTAAAGCTACTCTGTATCCCCTGCAAAGACAAAAGCACTTTTCCTCTAGTTCATATCCCATAGACTATCAAAATCACTATCCAGATTGGATCAAATAACAAAAAAACATTTCCCAATATTCTGTGTCTAGAAAACCAAAGTAACTATACAGTAGTTCATTACTTGCTACTATTATACACAGAGATTTTGCATTCAATAGGAGTTCCATTAATTTACTGAGTCTTTACTGAGTTTACTTATCTTTAAAGCTTTGCAACATCTTGTGGACATGAACAAGTCTCACACTTCAGCTACCTAATCTGTGAAAAAAATGCTCTCTTACATTTGGTTTGTCAACCAGTAATGTCTTGTGTTCCACTTATTCCTGCATTGTAATAAATAGTCAATAATATTTCATATTTACCTTCTCTGTGTCTCCTGAAGAAATAACACTGTATGTTAGCCCTCAGTCACTTCTTGTCCGTACAGAAGTCTTATTCTATTCAAACAGTCCTCATTCAGAAGCTATTCGTGCAGCCGACCATTGTCTCTGTCTTTCAATGTATTTTCCTAGATTTACCCATATTGTTTTTGAGATTGGATGACTGTACATCACAGGTTATATATCAGCAGAATAGTTTCTGACTTGTTTTCTAGTATTTTCCTAGTGTTCTTAACTGGTTTTACTGCTGCTGAGCACTGGGCTGACATATTTTTCAGGCTCTCCAAGATGTGTTTCCTGAGATGAAATCATTAATTTAGTGATCATCACCATGTAGATGTGTTTGTTTTCCCTACATGCATTGTCATTATTGAACTAGAATGTATTGGCTATTATTTTATAACCCAGACATTCATAGAATAATAGAATCACAGAATCATTTAGGTTGGAAGAACCTCCAAGATCATCAAGGGATGGTAACTCAACCACTTCTCTGGGGCAGTCTGTTCCAGTGGTTGACAACCCTTTCCATGAAAAAATTTTTCCTAATATCCAATCTAAACCTCCACTGGTGCAACATATCTTCCTGATCTATCGTTTGTTTCTAGGGAGAAGGGACTCACGCCCACCTTACTCCAACCTCCTTTCAGGTAGTTGTAGAGAGTGATAAGATTCCCCTTGTGCCTCCTTTTCTCCAGTCTAAACAACCCCAACTCCCTCAGCTGCTCCTGATAAGACTTGTGGTCCAGACCCTCTCCCAGCTTCATTGCCCTTGTTTGGGCTTGCTCCAGCACCTCAAAGTCTATCAAGAGGTGAAAATCAAGAGTTTTTTTTTAAATTCTTCATGTAAGTTTTAATTTTTCTATCTTGAGTAATTCTGTGCTAATATAGATCTCAGTCCAGATTCCCGTGGGTCTCCAGGAGTACCCTCTTTTCCTTGAGAAAACTGACCATTTATTCTTTCTTATTTATTTGGTTCCTTCACACTTTCCCCCCAGTTTCAAACATGCTGTGTTTATCTATGAAACAAGCCTGATTTTTACTGCCATATTGCAGCTACAAGCACTGTTTCAGGCAATGGAATATACAATTAGCCTTCCTTGTCATTTGCCTTTTTACTTTCTTGACACATTATTTCTTGATATAGTTCTTACATCTTTTCTGCTTCCATTTTCTGTCTCTATCAGTTTCTCTCCCTGTGTTTTTGTGTTCACTTTTTTATTCACCCACGTTTTCATCCAACATCGTCTTCTCCTGTTCAACTTTCCTGGAAGGTCTCAACCCTTTCCTCACTGCTCACATATCTTTATGCAGGCTTACTAGAGATACAATATCTGCATATGTGTATAATTTCTCACCTTGCCCTATCCATCCCTCTTTCACTAAAAATGTAATTTGTGCATGAGCCAAAGTGACAGAGCCTAGTAGAAGTCTCTTCACTGGAGTAAGAAGAGTTGAAGTCAAGCTTTCTGTGAGAGCAGGTTGACTTATATATGAGGCTGCTTTAGAAACAGACCCTGAACTGTTATTACAGCAGAGTTGAGTGATAGGAAATATGCCACTTCTCCTCTTGGGCTGTTCAACCGGGTGATTTGGGTGCCATGATAAAATTGGGAGACCTGCCCAAGTGGGTTGAGGTGTACCAGGCTGCATCATGCTCTTCTCAGGTCATCTGCTTCTCTGGTGACTTGCATGCAAGGGGTGAATAGCTCTAGGAGGAAAACTGCAAAAGTTCAGGCATCTCTGCCTTTCCTAATACTTAGCAACCAAGGGATAAGGGAGCTGCCAGTGCATATATAGAGAAGAAAGAAAAAGCAGTGCACCATGCAGGAAGTTGATTAACTCACCTTGGCTTCCTGCAGGTGCCTGTAGAGGCAACAACAGCAAAACACAGGACACCTAACATTGTAGTCAGGAACTTGGAGAGATGTGTTGAATTTTGCTCTTCAGTCTCATGGCTCCTGCAAAAAGGCAGCAACCACAGCGTTTAGGTATCTTAGCATGATCATAGCAGAGACAGAGCAGTCGTCCTATCTGTCTGTCACCCATGGAACATGTGGAGCAACACAATTGGGACACCATAATGGAACTTTCCAACATGATGGAATCTTCCCACATGATGGGATTTCTTTCCTCATACCTCAAGCTTTGATTCTCTTAACTGCCCTTTTTGATGACAGCAGTTTCTTGCTCATATGTCCAACATCCTTTTTTTATCCGGTCATCACCAGGGAGCTCTTAGGAATTCAAGATTCTCAGTATATGGAAAATTTTGTGAGGTGGGAATATGTGGCAATTGGAGAGAAAGTGGAAAAGATAATTTCTGTCATGCAGCTTGTTACATTCACCATTCTCCAAGCCATTTGTCAAGCACTGAGTCAAATATCAGTCCTACTGAGCTCTGCTCTTACATTCACAATATCTTACTCTTATTCAGTGGCACTGAAACTAGCAGGGACATCTTGTAGAGTGAGATATTCTTCCTACCAAATAAATACTTCCCGTGAGAAAGAGTGATGGACTGAACCTATCTAGCACAGTGAGGCAATCTGGGGAGAGTATGGGCGAGTGACGGTGCCACAGTCAACTATTTCAGTGAAATAACTGAATGAGTCAACTCTTATGTGTTAGAAGTGGTAATGGCGATAATGACCACACCTTGCGGCCATGCTGCTCTCCATTTGTCAAGGTTTGTTTTCTATTTGGTGAGCTCTTCTTCGGCATAGTCAGAGTACTTCTGCTGCTGCAATGCTTTTGCACAAAGGTTCTTTGTGCCAAATAACATCATATTTTTGCCGGAGGGTGTTCATGGTTATTGTTTCTTCAATGCGTCTCTAATTAATTTTGCCAAAGCCACCTATTTTCTGCCGTCTGTCAGGTGTCAAGAAGAAAGAATGTGGCTCCAGACAGCTAGACAGGAACACAGGAGAACATGTGGTGAGATGAGAAGGATATGGAGGCAAATTCAGATCATCATCTCACAATAGCTTCTTTTATATGCTGGGTTACAAATCATAATGGACTATTATTTTTACAGTATAGAAACTACAGAGTTAAAACCCCACAGACTAAGAAATTGCAGCAGTGTTAGGAAGCAAGATATGCTAAAGCCCTTTGTGGTCTAATATATCAATGACAACAATAATACAGTTATTGTAGTCATTCTTTAAACCAGTAAGCTGAGTCCTTGTAGACAATGCCCACAGTTTATACTTCTCATAAGTACAAACATGTATTATCTTTTATCTAAACCATTTCCACATTTCCATATGCTTCCACTTATTTATCTTAATTGTGGAAACAAAAACAAATACACTACATGTCAAGAAATGGCTTGACCTTCCTTCCATAGGCCACATCCTATATTCTTTTTGCGCTCCAAAGCTACCTTGCACTCTGATTAACTTGACTTGTGTTTGTGTATATTCTCACACAAAATGTATATGTAACCTGGCCCCACAGGGTTCCACAGGACTGAACTGAAATCCCAGTTGAACTTCAGCTATAGCATTAATCATGTATTCATGATGGAATGTGGGTTGCAAGAAAATATTTAAGAGTCCATAGAAACTTTTCTTTAAAATATGAAATCTCTAAATGTTTGGGTTCGCATTATGGTCCTTTAGTTAGGGTTTATTAGACTATTTCATATTTGCCTTTCTGTTTATTTTGTAAAAGTATACTTGTCTAGCACACATTTTTATGCCAGCCTTGCTTTGCATTTTTACAGTCTGCTAATTAGACCATTTTAACTAATTTGTTTGCATTTTGTATGAGCAAGTTGGGCTTTTGGATTGACTAATGTAATTGCAGCCAGTTTCTGCCAAATACAAATTACTCTTTCTAGTGTGAGCTAGAGAGAAAAGTAAATATTTAATAGCCATCAATATCCTTGCAGCATTCTAGAGTGTGCTTTTTTCCTATGGAAATTTTAAATAATTTCTTCAGTACTTGATTGCACTTTAATGTTAAGAAATTATTTTTTAATCTTTTTTGAAATAATAATGAATTAGACATTTTAGCATCTCCGTAAGGATTTTATTTCTGTGCACTTTGCAGTTTTAAATTCCAAGCTTTAAAATCTGGTACTTTCAGGTTTGAGGTTTATTTGTGTAGCTTTTTATGTACTGAGTACCATCTCCTGAAATCGTTTTGCTGGAATGTACTTGAGTTTTAACATTTCTAAGTGGATGAAGTCAAGTCTGATAACAAAATTAAATTATGGGAGTTTTGCTTGATTTCTCCTTTTTTTTTTTTTTTCCAGAGAAGCATAGCAGAAAACAGGAACTGGTTACCAAACCTCAGTATTATAGGTGTTTGTATTTTGAACTGCTAATCTTTTGTTCTTCTCTGCAGAAGTGGACTTAAAAGTGTAAGTGCACCAGGGCCTTAAGCAGGTTAAAGCTCCTCAATTTTCAGCCTTAATATTCCCAGGATGCTTGCTATGATACAGGTTGAGAAGACCACCTGCTTTCCAGGGCAAGGCAACCCTCCTCCTATTCCTCTTTCTTCCTCATGCCTAACTCCCTCTGAGACCTATGCAGAGAACAGGGATATGTCTGCCTCACCCAAGGGGCTGCCTCTGAAATGTTATATGGCCACACTTCTCAGGTCAGGGACATCACAGAAGTCCTAAAACGTGTTTCTCTCTGACAAACCTTGGTGATGGTGCCCCTCACCCTGCTGTACCCACCTACATGGTATCTGAGCATTTTTCCTAGGGTTTCAGGCTCTACTTCCTTCTCCCTCATGAGGCTTTCAAATGCATGAGGGACACAGGTTAAGACCTGTAAGCGTCTTAACCAAAGGCCTAAGGAGTGGAGCAGCTGTTGCTCTCTGTCACCCAGTGAATGTGGAAATACTTCAAATGTTCAAACCCTTCTGAACAGGAGTGGTGGGTAATGGTTAGCTGGTACTAGGGTTGCCTTAGTGCACTTCTAACCTTACCTTACCTCTTGTCAGTCATGTTGTGCAGCTGGTACCAGTCTTATGACACTGCGGGAAGGAGAACCTTCCTTTGGCCACCTTACTGTTTCATCTGATGAAGCTAAAATGATAACAGATCAACAGTGAGATCCAGCACTAAGGAGAGAGAAATCAAAACACCCTTTAGCTAAGTCCCTGACATGTCAGTACCCATTGTATTTTCAGATAGGGTGCAATTTCATGCACTATTAACATATCCATAATTATTAATTAAGACAGTGAATACATAATCAGTGCCAAATGACAACAGAGGTCCATGTCATCAGCAGGCTATAGAACCAGGTTCTGAATTTCATAACCACAACAACCAAATTCATTCTCTCCGTTTCATTCCTTTTACAGCAAATGTGTCACAGAGCATGAAGCAACATGTTTTTGATGGATGCTATCTTCCCAATCCTCCCATCATGTGCTAAGAACAGGTACATTGCAAAAGGTAATAATCTTTTTTTGTTTCTGCTATTTGCCTGACCTAGATGAATGGGCAGGTGATTTGATTAGCGAATTAACCATGCTGTTCTGAGAATGTTACTATTAACAGGCAGTCTTATCTACTCTCCTGGATAAGTTTAAGTGTGGTATTTTTTTAGTAAACCCAGTGTTGCCATTCATGGATACCTACAAGTCTCACAAACATGAGCAGCAAGTTTAAGCATAATTCTATGGTAGGACTTGTCTACTTGGATTAAAACTTTTTTTTTTAACACTACATTTAATACTAAAATTTTACACAAAATTAACTGTATTAACAATAAATTTAATAACACGAGATTTAATGCTAAATTTATGTTGTATATTTTCCATTATGGACATGGTTGCTCTTTCGGAAAGTGCTCTGTGGTCCTTATATATACTGAATTTCTTGAGTAAGTACTTTTTCACCCTAGATACAGAGAGAAGTACCTCCCTGTGTATCCTTATATTTGCTATTTTGGTACACTATTTTGGACATTATTAGGACAAAATATCAAATGGATTTGCTTATGTATCCAGTACTTTTCTAAGTGTGCCTATCTGACTACATATTGAAAAGCTGGTGTGATCTTGGTAGCCCTGAGAGGACATAAAAAGATGGAGGCTTTGAAGATGTAGGTACTATCACGCAAGAGGTCTGCCTAAAATAGCTGCACAGATCATCTTCAGAAAAGAGAAGGAAGTTAGGTTATTTTCTCACTTTTGACCATTGTACAATTTATCCATGGCTATTTCTCTTGCTGCTAATAGAATTACTCACACAAGTAACACAATAACACTTTAGCCTTAAGCAGTTGGCCTCCATGCTGATATACAAGTGAGCATGTCAGTTGCTGCTTACTGTGATGCAGAGAACAAATTAACCAAGAACTGGACTGGCTCCGTTAGAAGTTATAGATAACTGAAATATATTTTAATCATTTCTGTCACAGGAAAGTATTTTCTAAATGTGTTATGTCAAAACATCCCGAGAAGTGACATGTAATCCAAGGCACATGTTTTATTCTTGATTACATTTGCAAATTCAATCTCAGTCCTTTCAAGGCATTTTGAATTTCAAGTAACATTGTTAAATGCTTGTGTTCTTGATACTTAACTAAAGCAGTGCCACAGGAATATTCAATAAAGGAATTCAGTACAATAATTCATTTATTCACTGAATATCTTGTCTTAACAACTGACAATTTTTATAGATCTGATCCCTCTCCAGAGATTTAGTCATTCTCCAAAATGCAACAGCAAGAGATGAGGAGATGATAAAAAAGTTATAGCATAAAATACAGATGCTTTTCACCAGCTATGTCACAAGACCTTTCAGTGTTTGATCTCTGCTTATGAACTCTCTCCTTCTTTAAAAGTCTGTGAGACTCAATGTCTTTACAATGTCAGATCCTAGCAAAACTTTGCGGGGACACAAATTCCACACATTTAGTTTTCTAAAGCTCTAATGGTGTTTCTTCCACTGACTCAGCATAAGTGCTTCTGTTGTGCTATGTTGTGTCAGCAATTTTCAGCATTTCATATTTCACTGCAAAATATTTTTTTTGAAATTTAGGCTATCTCTAAACCCAGTATTTATGTGCTTGAAGGGTAGCTTGAATGTGAGGGACAGTACATGAGTGTGTCTGTTACGGTAACATTCCAGTAGGAAAATTCTTGATCCAAATGATGGACATAGAGTATGGTATAGCAGTTAGTTCTTATACATATACATGCTCTCATAAATTTGTGCTCTGCCCATGACATTTTTCCACTAAAGACAGATATACTTAGAATACAAATTTCCATGTGAATGGCGAGACATTTTGCAATAATTGTGTGAATGAAAAGGGGAAATTACAATCACCAATTTTAGACTATTTTATTTATACCAAGCAGTAGATGTTTCTAGTGTTAATTAAACTCCTTAGAGTATGAGAACAGTGAAATTTTGTCCAAGATAAATTCTTTGATAATTTTATATAATTTGTACCTGTAGTTTGGACTTAATAGACCAAAGTGAAGATATGTATGTGGAGGGTATGTGAGGAAAAAGTGCATGCAAAGCAGTGATGTGAATAGTGTGAAAGAAAGAAAAGCTGAAGAAGAAAAAATAATGGCCTGAGTAGATGCTGGTGGAAGATTTTCTACTCATCTGTGATGGAAAGTGATATTAAAATATTTGGTCCTCATAGAGCTCTACATTTATACAGAAATTCTGCAAAATTTTGTGCCTTGATCAACACCTGGGTTTGCACCTCCAAGAATTTAGATCTACATCTGGCCACCACCTTAGTGCACTTTGACGCAAAGCATTGCTTGTGTTGCTGCTAACTATAAAATTTTGTTTACAAGGATAAACATCACTTAAAAAGGTGATAAAGACATAATGAACAAGAGCCAAACTTTTGAAATGCTTAACCCATTCAATAATGCATGTAAGGTATACTTAAAAAAAGGAATGCCTGTTATGTTTGCAAGTGGCTTCAGATTAACAAGGGCACATATAATCCAAAGTACTGTTTAAAGGTCAGTGAAAAGTTTAAAGGTTAAACCCTGCTACTTTTTTTCACTTTGGACTCCAAGGGTCTCAAAAAGAAAGGCCATTTCTACTCTTAGCTACGCTAGTGTGAATTTAATATTCACAAGTGCTTGGTCTTAGTTGAATTGATGTGGATTTACAGCAGAAGGACTTCCATCTCTGGTCCTATACTGCTGCTTTGCTGCTTGGTTAAAAGAACAGGTTTTGTTCAGCTGCCACTTTCCCCTAAATATATATGTATATATATATGTATATATCTCTGTGAAAATTTGTCCATGCATTTTTCAGAGCAGAGAAAATATACAAAATACTCTGAATACACTGTAGAGGTTGAAAGTAAATGTATTGGGAAAGGTGAATTTCCATATTAAATAACTTTTTTTTGATACTCATTATCTTGTAGCAAGAACAATATTCTTCCATCAGCAATTCTACAGCATTTTTAAATGTGCTGCAAATGTTTGTTAACAGTAAAATCATCGTATCCCTAGTTCTATAATAAACTAACAGAAACCATACCACTGAAAAGAGGAATGTCTTATCTCAAACGAGGTTTCCTGCTAAGATAATCTGAGGAACACTGTGACTCTTGAGCAACTCTACGTTTTCTTTTCTGCTTGTTTTTCTACTATTAGCAGAAATAAACCCATAGTATTTAGCAAAAGCTTTAAAAAGTGTTAGCCAATAAACAAGAACATTTACATCTTTTCTTCCTGGAGAAATTTTTCAAGTCTCCCTCTTGGATTCCCCATTTATTCACATTCCCCGGGGACAGAAAATCTTCCAGGGGCTAAAAGGGTTCAGAGTCACTCCTGATACAAGTTGCAAGCACAATACACTTGAGCTCTGGGGCACTGACTTCACCTCCTCTCTGCCAGCCACACTACCCAGCAAAAGTCCATCCTCAGTTGTTCTGTCCTGGGTAGGACCCTGAGCAGTCACTATTGGACAAAGCTGCTTGAAGAAAAACTACAGAGTTTAGTGATAAATATATAGAAAGATTACAAACCACATTCTACAAATTTGCTTTGGGCATCGTTCCAGAGTGTTATCCAGAGAGACAGCTGGATTAACAGCAGCAAGGAGCCTCACAGGATCCCTTAACTCCCCCTTGGTCTTGCAGGCTCTTTGCAATTGCCTGTTCTGCTCCTGTGTCCTCACAATCGTTCTTCCTCAGCTCCTTTATTTTGTATCTCACCTCTGTGTTACCTCTTCAAGTCTCCCCTCAGAATCTCCACTGCCCCCCAAAGCTCCTGCTCCTGTTCATACCACACTATCCTGCCACTTTCCCACACCTGCCCAAAACCAGTCCGTGGGCAGCTCTCACCTCATAGTTCCCTGTCTGGTTTTCAAACCATATAGCACTATGGATAGGTTTTTTAGAAATCAATATTTTTTAAGCTTTTTATTTTTTCCTTTGAAACTCTCTGAAGGAACTAGACAAGTTTAAGTCTTGATCTCATGCAGAAGGAAAGATGAAGTGTTGCATAAGGGACAAAAATGAGAAATGGCAGTCTTTTTATAATATATCCAAATATTTCTGAAAAAAATACAGTATGGTTTTGGAAATTACAACTGTTTTTATGACCCATCTTACAACCTGGGGCTTGAAAATCTGCAAGACTTTTTCTTTCCTTGATCATATATCTGTAAAAGCACTTCAGCAAGAAAAGTTGCCGATGTGACCCTGCAGGATTTTTTTCCCTTTAGACCATTGTAAACATTCATACAAATAAATTGAATTGCTTAGATATGAATAGAAAATGGATGCACAAGAAAAAGAACTTGGGCAATGTATATTCATTTCAAAAGTCAAGGAAATATTGACGGAAAACACTTCTGCATCTTCCACTGGAATTACTGAATATATTTGATTAAACATATAAACTTCGCTTTGCTGTTCAAGTTCACCAAGCATGTTTGGAATAACAATTATTTTATTAACATACTGACATGATCTAGTCAAACAAAATTAAATGTGTTTTGGGGTAATAAAATGTAAGGCCTTATTTAAGTATCTTTGCTTTTCTAAAACAATGGAAAGACAGATTTCTGCAGAAGCAAAA